ATCTCTTCCCTTATTGTGTGTTTCCCAGGAGTAGCGCTGTACCTCATCACACTCACTTGGGATCCTGTAGACTGTTTATTGCACACTAGGATGGAGCCTTAAGCAGTTGATAAGAGGAAGGCTTGCATCTCATGCTGGGGTCTTCTGGGTCTCAGTGTTAGGAAAGTAGCCTCTGTTTCAGATCCTCATGTGAAGGGTACCCCTGGAGGGAGGGATTATCTCTGGAGACTTCTTGACCCTGGGGCATTAGGGTAAACCTAGAGCTTTGGGAAGTTTTTAGCAGGCCTAGTTTCAAATGTGCATTTAACTTCCATAAAGATGTACATTTTCTCCTCTCTCCCCACCCCCATAACTTTTCTGAGTGCCTACTGTATACCAGGAATTCTGATAGATGCTATAGGGAACCTGAATGAATCAGACCAATTTCCTCAGGGCTGCTTTGGAGGAGATGGCATTAACTTGGCACAAGGGAGAGAGTCCTCAGCATATAAGAGGTGAAGCACAAATGGTGTGAGAGCTCACACACAGATAAAGCACCATGGAGACAGTTGTCCTGTAGGCCTGGAACATACTTTCTCATCCAGGTGTGGAATCCAGAGTGGCTCCACTTTCCTGCTCTCCAGGAGCATAAAGCCTCCCTCTTGCCTGTCTTCTGCCATTCCACACGGGCACGTGCTCTTTTCCTTCACTGACCCCAGGACCTTTCTAGATCAAAGAGCCAGTGATGGCCAGGGTTTCTCTGTGTGTTTTCCTAAATGAGTCTTTAGCAGATTGGGCTGCAGTCAACAGAGTTCCTTTGAGGGCAATGAAGCCAAAGTTCACTGCGTGCTTATTAGAGGTTACAGCCTGCTAAAAAAAGATGGGGTGCACTACCAGAAAAATCTAGCTATTTTCTTTAGCCACAAATATAAACGTCAAAAGGCCCGAGGCAGAACAGTTTTTCCTTTCCTGTCTTCCTCTGCTCTCTTCTCTTTCGATTTCCCCTTCTCTTCCCTTTCACCTTCTCCCCCCTCTTTTTTCTCCTCCCGCTTTTCCTTCTGGCTAGGGACAGAAGTTGGACAGGGTATTTTCCACCCCTCCCAACCCTGTACCAAATAACCAACTAATCAGACACGGTTATGTTGTTGCTTTGGTAGTTACTCTACAGAAAAAAAGAAATACTACTTTAGGCGGGAGTGAACTTGAGAGAATTTTTTAAAAGGCACTCTGCCACAGCCCCACGGAGATCACTCTCTCCATCCTCCCTTCCTCTCCAAGGCTGCCAGGAAGAAGGAGCCTGTAAGAGCCGTGCCTAACGCAGGCGGCCTTCAAGTCGCGGCGGAGGAATAAGCGTCTAGGAAGCGGGGGAGCAGAGACCCCACGGCTGAGTCCAGGGCCCAGCACCCTCCTCTGCGGGCTCGGGTTCCCCAGCCTCTCCGGGCGAGCAGAGACCCCCCGCGAGCGCCCGGCCCCGACCTCCACCCCCGTCCTCCATCCCACACCCCGCCTCGAAGCGAAGAGGTGGGCACCTGGGACACGCGTCCAGATTTTCTGCCTGGGCTCTCCCGTCTCCTCCACTTTGGCCCCCGGCGTCTTAGGACGACGGAGCCGGACGTGGCATCAGACCTGGGACGACGCAGCCTGCCCGCGCAGCAAGAACGCTAAAGGACTGCAACAGCCAGGGTGCGGATCTCCAGCTCAAATCCCAGGGAAGGACACCGCCCGCCTCCCGTTCGTCCCTGCCCTCTCCGCACGCCCATCTCTCGGCTCCGGGCTCGGCCGCCGGAGCTCCGCGCTTCCCCGCTCGCCACTCCGCGAGTTATTCCGGCGGGCGCTCCTACGCCACCCGGAGAGGGATGTTAATGAGGGAGCGTGGCCTGGCGCCCTGAGCCCGCCGGCTCCCGTGCCGCGATTGGCCGAGGCGAGGCGGAAGGATGACGTTATGCAAAAGAGGGGCGGGGCCACGAGCCGCGGGCCCCGCCTCCTCCCTTTGGGGTTAGTGTGCCCGTGTTTAGCTCTGGGGAGAGTCAAACTGGATTCCATAGGGAAAGCCTGCAAATCACTTCTATTTTAGCAGGGAGAAAACAGAATCTCCATCCAGCAGGGTCCACCCCTCTCTCTCTCCCTCTCCTCTCTCTTTCTCTCTCTCCCTCCCCCCCTTTCCTCTTTCCCTCTCTCCCCTCTCCCCCCACCCTCTCTGGTGTATCGGTCTACGGCAGCCTGCGTCCTCCTCATCTACGCGCACTGAAAGGAAAAGAAACATCTTTGGTTGGGAGAGAAGGAGGAAAAAAAAAAAAGAAAAAAAAAAAAACTTGCCTGGTTGTGGAAAATGACACTTGAAGTAGCAAAGCCGGCAGCGCGAGTTGAGTCTATTGTTTCTTAAATTGCCATCAAGGTTTTTTTGTTTTGTTTTGTTTTGCTTTTTTTTTTTTCTTCCTGCTTCTTCAAGTAAAGGGTACCTCTACAGAAGGAAACTTCAGCCCCTCCTGT